CAGGAAGAGAGCAAAACAAGTATCCTTGCAATGGCAATATAACCCAACTTGCCCTGTAAATTTTAGGGTACGTGAAAGACTTCTTGTACACAGTCTGTAGAAAATAACCCAGCCACAAAGACTGGTGATGGGGTTCCAAATAACCCCCATCTCTGGGAAGAGCTCATTTAGTAAATATGACCAAGCCTTGGTTTATTTTCCCACAGAGGACCAAATAAGCAGAGATAGAATTCTTTTTTGGACCAAATGCTCATCAACAGTGAAAATCTCTTTGCCATCCTGGGAGTGATGGAAATCCTGGAAGAAAGTAGCTTTGGCATGGAGGTAGTAAAGCAGAGGAATATTGTGCAGAGTTCAAAGGTGGCCTGGGCACAGGAAGGCAGATTTCAAATGATGAGGGATAAATAGGTCAGATAGTAGCTTTTATAAGAGAATGAGGATCATGATGTATTGGAGATGATAACAAGATAATATAAACTATGTGCTCCCCAGGACCCCTATGGGGAAGAAAATAGAGAAATGGCTGAAATAGCAGGAAACTTGGGTGTAAGATAATATTTACAAAAGTCAGGGTGAGAATAAGACAGAGGAAGACAAACCTGATCAAATGATTTCTTGAGTCATTTGGGAAATGGTTCCTGAGTGATTTCCCTGCTTCTTGCTAAGGAGAGGGCCACAAAACAAGACACCTAGGTTCACAATCCAGCAGGGAACACAGAGAGCAAGCAGGTAATTAAAAGTGTATTAACTCAGCCAGCTACAAACACAAGGGGACTTCCTCAACCTGACAAATGGCATCGATAAAAACCCTGAACGAATGATAGCTATTAAAACCCCAAGTTAACCTCACGCTGAGTGGTGAAATCCTGAGTGTCTTCTATCAAGATCAGGAGCAGAGGATGCCTGTTTTTCTACTTCTACCTGGCATTATACTAGAGGTTCTAGCCAGGACAATTAAGCAAGAAAAAGAAATAAAAGTCATACAAAATTGGAAAGGAAAAAAATAAAATTACCTCCAACTTGCAGATGACATGATTTTGTACACGTAAAATCTTAAAGAATCCCATAAAAAAACTATTAGAACCGACAAACGAGTTTAGTAAGGTTAAAGAATATAAAATCAGTACACAAAAATCAAATTTATTTCTATGCACCAGCAATAAACAATATGAAAATGAAATTAAGAAAATAGTTCTACTTGCAGTAGCATCAAAAAGAATACAATGCTTAGGAATAAATTTAACAAAAGTGTAGGATTTCTGCACTGAAAATGGTGAAATGTTTTTAAGAGAAATTAAAGATTTTTTAAAAATGAAGACATCTCATATTCATATTCATGGATCAACAATTATATTGTGAAGATGACAATATTTCCCAAATTAATCTATACATTTAAAGTGATCCCTATAAAAATCTCAGCTGCCTCCTCTTCCCATCTCTTTTTTTGCAGAAATGGACAAGCTCGTCCTAAAATCTATTAGTAAATGCAAGGCACTGAAAATAGCCAAAATAAACCTGAGAACTCACCTTTCTTTATTTCAAACTTATTTCAGAAACTATAGTAATCAACACAGTGTGGCAGCAGCATAAGGCTAGACCTCTCAGACACTGGAATAGAATTGGAAGTCTAGAAATAAGTCTTTACACGATGATAAGCTAGTTTTGAAAAGGATGCCAAGACAATAAAATGGAGGAAGAATAGTCTGTTCAACAAGTGGCACTGGGAGAATTGGATATCCACATGCAAAAGAATGAAGATAGACTCCTACTTCACACACTAAAAAAAAATACTTCAATATAGTTCAAAGACCTAAATGATAAGACCTAACCTGTAAAACTTTGGGAAGAAAAACAGAAGCAGATTATTTTAATTTTTTTCTTTATTTGTAGATGGACACAATACCTTTATTTTATTTATTTATTTTTATGTGGTGCTGAGGATCAAACCCAGTGCTCCACATGCATTAGGCAAACACTTTACCACTGAGCTAGCCCAAAAGCAAATATTTATGATAAGATTCTTTGTGTAAAATCATTAGGTAATGATTCCTTAGATATATCATCAATGGTATAAAAGAGAAAAGAAAAAAAATAAGTCAGATTTTATCAGTCCAAAACCCACTTATTGCAAATGATATTATCAAAAAACTGAAAGGACAATGTAATGGCTAATTTGAATTGTCATCTTGATTGGATTAAGATATGTGGATGATTAAGAGGCTTCTGGGTGTGTCAGTGAGGGTACATCTAAGAATGATTGGCATATGGGACAGCCAACTGAAATGGAGACTCTCTCTAAGAATGGGCAGCACTGTCCAATAGGATGATGGCTCGGATAAAACAAAGAACAAGGAAGCAGCAGTAGATGCAAGCTCAATTCTTCTTGAATTGGGTTCTTGATTGCTGCTGCGATTGTCTGAGGATATCGGATTCTAGCTTCTTCACTCTTCCAGAGCAGACTCTGCTGGTGATTCTCCAGGGAATTTCCAGAGGCCTTTGGTCTCAGACTAAGGTAGCACCATGGACCCCTCTTGTTCTGGGGCTTCAGCCTCTTGGACTGTGCAGCTGCTGGTTCTTCCAGCTCTCTAGCTTGCAGACAGCCATTGTGGACTATCCAGCTTCTTATCAAGTAAGCCAACCTAATAAATCACATTTTCATAATTATATTTCCTGTGATTCTGTTCCTCTAGAGAACCCTGACTAATATAGACAACCTGTAGAATGGGAGAAAAGTTTTGCAAATGACATATACAATGAGGGACAAGTGAATAGGATATAAAAATAACCTACAACTCAATAGCAAAAAGATTAATAACTCTATTTAAAAATGGACAAAGGGTTTGAGTACACATTCCCATCAAGAAGATACACAAATGGCCAACCAGCACTGAATAAGCATTTACCAATAAGCATTTTCCATGAGGAAAATGCAAATCAAAACCACCATGAGATATCACTTCACATCCTCCAGGATGGTTATAATATAGAGATGGAAAATAACAAGTGTGGGGAGGATGTGGAACAATTGGAACACTCCTACCCTGCTGGTGGCAATGTAATATGGTGTGGCTGCTTCGCAAAGCAATTCCTCAAAATGTTATGCATGGAATTACCACACAATCCCACAATTCCATTCCTGAGCATACAACCAAATGAATTGAACACATATGTCAACCCCCAAATTTGTACCCAAACATTTATAACAGGATTATTAACAATAGTGAAAAAGTAGAAACAACCTAAATGACCACCAAATGATAGGTGAATAAAATATGGTAGAGTGACAATGAAATATTATTTGGTACTAAAGAGAAATAAAATATTAATACATGCTAGACCATGGATGGACCTGAAAACATAAAAACACCAATCACTAAGGATCACACATTTCATAATTTGGTTTATCCGAAATATCCAGAATAGGATATTTATAATCCTATAATCTATAATCCATAGATGCAGAAAGGAGATCAGTGGTTGCCTAGGATGAGAGACTGGGATGCAGCTGGGGAGTGACAGCTGAATGAGCATAGGGATTCTGTTCATGGTGACAAGATTTCTCCACAATCATATTGTGGTGATTGGTCGCATGACTCTGTGACTATACTAAAAACCACTGAACTCTATAATTTGAGTGAACTGTATGGTGTATGAATTGGATCTTAATAAATCTCTTTTAAAAAAGGAATAGGCAACAAAAAAGAAATGTGTATTGAGTGTCATGATTGAGGAGGAATAATTTGGGAGCCCAAATGAAGGACATGGAGTTCGGTGACTAACCCTGGGCAGACAGTAAAGTCAGAAACCAGGGAAAAGATGGACAAGGGAAGGAAATTGTGGTATGCAGGTATGGCAGGAGCAGAAGCAGGAATAAAGCGTGGCTAGGTGGGTGGGCAGGCTTTTGGGGTCCGAGTTAATGATTCTCAGTTTGTCCTGTACAGTGATGGCAAGACATTGATGGGTTTAACCTGGGGCATGCAATGAATAAATTCTGGCTGCAAGAAATGGATGTGAGGGTTATGAATGGATTAGGAACCAATGCAAAAGTCAGGAAGAGGGAGGATGCCTAAGAAATTGAAATTGAAGTGGTTTGAGGGGAAAGTGGGAGGTGAAGATGCGGAAATAATTAGTTCTTCTATGACGTTCAGGTGTAATGGGAGGAGAGAGATACAGCTGTAGCTGGAAGGGGATATGAAATGGAAGAAATTTAAAAGATAGGCATGTTTGAATGGGAACTGGAAAACCCCAGAGAAAGAGACAGGTTTAGTATTCAGAAGACAGAGGAGAAAATTCGTTCAATCAGGCCCTTGCAAAGGTAGATGGTAATGAGATACAGAACACCCTCAGAGGGACATGCCCTCTAACACAACAGGAGGAAGGGAGGAAATGGTTACTGATGAAGGTGGATTTGTAGATTTGAAAAGAGAAATCCCTCATCTGCCTGCCTCCAATTCTGTAAGCAACATACGAGCCAAGAGTGAACAGGCAAGCTTTAAGTGTGATGAGCAGGAGTGTTAGGGTATGATGTCACAAGTTGAGATTAATGAGGACACTGGGCTTGACGACAGGTGTTGGTGAAAGAGGCTCAAGTGCATGTTACCATCCACCTTACATTAGAGTCCCTTCTCATATTATCCTCAAAACAGGAGGGGCTAGAAAAATTAATTAAGAAGGAATTAGAACCCCAGATGAAGAAAAGACAGAGAATTCAGTCATTTCAAAAGTTCAGGCATTTAGGCCCTGTGGACCAAATTAGCTTAAAGATATAATTGAATTGTGTCTTTGATATTAAAAACTCATGCAGACTGGAATAGGCACAAAAAAATATTGGACATGATCTCTTTTTAAAAAGGAGGAATAGGGGAATTCAAGAAAATACAGTTGAGTCAAATCATGATCTCTGCTGTTTGTTAATTTGTGATCATTAGGAATCACCAAATGTTCATCAGGAAATATTTATGCTAAAATATTATTTCTTTATTATCTATCTTGTGATTCAAGGTACATTATTGGTAGATAAAATTAAGAGTATTTAAAAAAATAACAGAATTTCAGAAGGCACTGATCATCAGACTACTGCATGGAAAACTGTTCATTTTAAAGGGACATAGGCATGCACAAAATGGTCAGTGGGAGATCCTGGATGAGAGACAACAGAGATAACTGCAGCAGAGAGGCTTTGGGTGAGACAACAGAGATACCCTCCATGCTTTGAGGCCTGAGATGTAAGACATTTAGAAGATATTTAGTCCAGTCTTTTTTCTCTTCCATGACCCAGAGAAAAGAAGAATGAGGGGTAGAAAGTTACAGGGAAGAACACTGTTCCCTCTGACACCAGGAGATGTCCAACAATGGAGAGAGCATGAGTTTCTCAGTCTTGAAGGCTTCTAGAAGAGAGATTCTGCTGGGGCTTCTCCTACAGCAAGGTGTGGGTGTGGATTATGTAACTCTAGAGTCTGCTCCATGAAAACAAATGTAGAGAAAATGGGACGTGGGTGTTGATTCTCTGGCACACTCATGCTAGATATATAAACACTGATGCCTACAGATGTCTGCGATCTGTCCAAGCTGGTAGTCAGGCAGTGGTAGAGCTGGGGCTGGATCCAATTCTCCTCTCCCCAAGGCCTGCTGTTTCTATGGCTCCGCCATCATTCCATCTCCACCATTTCTATTGCCTTTGTCTTTGTAACATCAACCAAGAATGTTAAATCCCTCATTTGTGACTTTTAGGCCACACGCTTACATGAATGTCCATTGGTCTAAATGGCCTGTGTGAAATTTTCAGCATTGGCCTTACAACTAGAGGTCCTGAGCAGCTGAGCCTCAGCTCACAAAGATAAGGTTTCTGTAATTGCTGGGGGGCTGTTCCCAGGGAATCTTATGTGTGGTCCCTGGAGGAAAAGGGGAGCTGTTTATAGCAGGAGGAAAAGATTCCAGAGTTACCATGTCGTACGTGGTCCACAGGGTCTTCTATACTCCTTGCTTTAGGTGTACATGACCAGGCTCATCCACTGAGAAAAAAGCATCATCATTACCAATGATCATTTTTTTTTATTGGTGCATTCTAATTGTATGTAATTATGGGATTCATGATGACATATTCATACAAGCACATAATTTGATCAATCTCATTCCCTAGTACCTGTCCTTCTACACCTTGATCCACTTGCTCTACTCTACTGATCTCCCCTTTATTATTATTTTAAATTAGTTTTTTATTACTTACACACACACACACACACAGACACACGAGGCTTCACTGTGGTATATTTGCACATGCACATAGCATAACGGGAAGGTTACAATCTTGATCACTAGCGGCTGCCCTCCCATCCTCCCTCCCTCTTGTTGCCCTCCTCCTCCAATGCATCACAACTAATTCTTTAAGCTTGTTTATTTAACGTGGAATGGAGAAAATGCCACCCTCCTCCCTTGAAAGATCTCAGTTCTGCCTCATCACTCCTTTCCAGCTAACTCCAAGTCAAGCAGGAGGTCTCAGGCCCCTGTCACAACATATCTTCTGCTCCCCCCTGAATAGCCAGGCAGTGAGAAGTGTATCTGAGGTCGACCAGCTGGCCGGTTGGGAGGCTCTAAAATTCAGTGGAAGCAAATTTAATGTACGGTGAGCTCAGCGGGTTGTTCTTTAGTTCCCTCTTGGATTTATGACTCCCACATAATCCTCTGCTTTATTAAGCTATTGGAAAAAAATAAAATCTGTCTGCCAAGATCCTAAAGCAACCTGGCAGCCTGCAATATATAAAGACAGTAATTGGAGGCAGGGGGCTGGCAGCTTGGCTGGCCTTTGAGAGACTGTTCAATACTCTCAGGAGAAGAATGCCCCCAGGGAACGGGATCAGGAGAGGCAGCCTGGGACTGTGCCTGGCCCTGGCAGGGGAAAGGACCTCACCTCCATTTCTGTCAGGTAGAGACCTTTTCCATCCTTGGAGAGGTTGCGGAATGTCTCTAGGATAAAGAAGGAAAGGTTTTGATTGATTTAAGAGGAGGGACTCAGGGTGGGCCAGGGCCCGTGTGAAGGTAAAACCCAATGAGGTTCCGGGAAGGCAGCCTCTCTTCCGCTGTGCCTGTGTCCTCTCTCTTCTCTTTTGGGTCAGGCTCTATGCTGCCAGGAGCTCAGGGCACCTCCTCAGGGTGGCTCTGTGTCTCTCTGGCCTCTCCCCTGCCCGGACTCCGAGCACCCCACATCCTTCCCCATTCAGTTGTGTGCGGGCTTGACTTTCTTTCTGGGCATGGTTTGGGAAAGTCTTGGAGACTTCTTGGTCCATGTGAGAACTCCCTGGGGGCAAGATTTAAGCTTCAGGCTTCTCTTTTTCCCTCCCAGGTTTCTATTCTCTCAGGCCTTATAAGTTGGCCCACCCAGAGCCGTAGCAGGACGGTGCCAAGAGGTGGAGGTCTTTCTAGCCCCATTCTACCTCACCCCCACCAGCTCCATTCTGAGCCACTCTGTGGACGAGGGTCTCACCTAACATCTCATTTAAAACAAAGGTGATGCCTCTAAAAAGCCTCGCACCCTCTGGCCTGCAGGGTGGGATTTCTAAAGCTTCAGGGGAGAAACCTTGCCCCCACCTATTTGCTTATGCGTGACATTTCTCCAGCAGAGACCAACACCCCTTCATGGCAGGACTGAAGCAAGGTCTTAGTTGTAAGTACGAGCTGGAGAGGGGATTTAAGTGAACTGTTTCTGAGAGAGGAGCTGATAGGGAGGAGGCCCCGGGGTAGAGGAATGTTAGGGAAGGAAGGGTGCGGGAGGGAGACGGGGCCTGGCTGACCATATTATCTGTGGTGGCCTCATTTAGCACTGTCCTCTTGGAGCAAGGGTGCCTGAGGCAGGAAGCCATCCCACTGACTCCCGAAATCTGGGGGCAGCCATGACTTCCTGGTCCTCTCCTGTGTTTTTGGTCACTGCAAAGTCTCCAGAATGTGCCCATGAGACACTTACTTGCCATGGCTTCCAGTCGCATCAGGAAGCAGACTAAACTAGGGAAAGTGACCCGGCCCGTGCTGTCACTGTACCGAAGGGACATGAGGTCCAGCAGCTCGCTGCTTACGAAGATCCCTGTAAGGAAGACTGGGGTGGCAGGGTGAGCTGGTGAGCAGGGAGGGGCGGGTGGCCTTCTGCAAGGCCTGAGAAGCCTATTGAGAGGGCCTGAGGGACTCATGCCACCTTCCCTACTCGGCCTGGCTTGGCAGCCGGTCCACCTCGCCCAGAGTCTGTCTCTCAGATGCTTCTGTCTTGTCTGGCTGGGTCCCAATGACAGTTCTGGAGCTTGGCCAGAGACCACTCAGGAGCCTCAAGACACTGACTGTTCTAGAGACACATGGGCCTTTGAAATGGTCAGATAATCCCCATAGAGCAAGGGAGGTGCCAGGACAGCTGGGGCCGGCTTCCAGCCCTGTTTCTGCCAGGCCTCTCTCTGCTGGTGACTTTATAAAGTAACCGTCACCCTGATCCTGCAACTGTTAGTGCATGGGTGGTGCTAGTGTGGGCAGGTGTGGTCTCCCTGGAAGAGGGAGATTCAGCTCTAAGCTGATCATCCAAGAAAAAGGCTGGTCCTCACAGGGGAGACCAAACTGAGAAGGTGGCCTAGCTGGGCAGGAGGTCAGCACCCTGCCCTCTTTGGCCGTGCCGTCTTTCATGTCTAGTTATAAGCTCTAGGGAGGTACCAGCCCCATAGGGGACATGTGCAGACTGGTTAACAGTTGGGCCTGCAAGCTTTGATAACAAGTGGAACCTTGCAAGCCTTTTACCAAGGGACCAGCCTGGTGGTCTGTAGACCCCATGCAGCTAGAGATACATTTGGTGAGTGTAGAGTTAATAAAATGGGAATGGGGATGCTTTCAGTTAGGGTAATCACTCTCCAGGATGCCCCCCCTTCTCAAATCACCCATTTTCTTAGGGTTGACTCCAAGTGGCCCCAGAGGCTTTTCAGTTGAACTTGAACTCTTTCCATTTTGTGTCCCTTTTATTATACTGGCGTCATTAGTGAAGACTCCTTTGTGGTTTCATTTTTACTTGGCTCTTCAAGTGATTCTCAAGTTGTGGTCCCAGACCAGGGGCAGGAGCACCCACCCTGGGAGCTTGTTAGAAATGCCCTTCTCTAGCTCCAAACTGGAACCCTGATGCAGAAACTAGAGGGAGGCTCAGCCTTCAGACCTGCAAGGGACTCTGAGGAGCTCAGCTGCAGCATCACAGCTGCTGTTGTGAAGAATTAAGCGGGGGATCAAGTGGGGAGTGGGATCCTGTTTTTTTTTTTACCCCTACTCCAGAGCAGGAAGCAGAGTCTCCTTCCAGAGTTAACCTGGGGACACACGACTTCATCGTTTATTAAGAAAGGTAGCCATTCCCTTACATAACCTTTGTGTGACCGTTTCCTCACAGGTACATGGGGGTAATGAATCCTGCTCTTCCCAGTTCACAGAGAGCCAGGACAATCATATGAGATGAGGTGAATAAGGACTCCTGGTGAACTCTGAAGCACTTAAGCACCCTAAGGTATTGTTATCAGTACCCCAGGACTGAAAGCTTTTGCCTACTTGAAACCGACAGGTGCCATTTGATTTAATTTAGCGCTAAGCCCTCTGTGGAGAGAGAGAGACGAGAGATCATCTGCCTGTCCGTGGGTATTTAACCTTGATTGCCCAGACACTGCGCTGGAAGCGTTTGGAAGGAGAGCTCCATTCCTGCTACAAAATCAGTCATGTGGGGCTATTTTCTCACAATTAGAGCTGTGTCGGGAAGAAAAGGCAGCTGGGGGATTGCTGGGCAAGGAGAGCTCAGGTGGGGATGATGTCTGAGTCCGGAGCCCAGGTCGCCCATTAATGGCAGCGTAGGCCAGGAAGACAGGGGACCTGTGGCTCTCTTCTCTCCCACCTGCCCAGCCTCACCGCACCAGCGTGGACACAGCAATTGGAGCGTGGGCGTCGCGTACTCTGGCCCCCAACCATCACTGCTCAAAGGGCCCCTGCGTTACCTGTATTCTCTATGGCCTTCCCCAGGTTTGAGCTCAGGAGGACTCCAGAGCTCATCCGAAAGTTCTGAAAGACATGCTGATGTGGGAAAAGAAGGAAGAAGTCTGAGTTAGAACTGGGGGTGTGATCTGAGGGCTGGGATGTGCCAAAAAATCTGTTTCCATCCCTTGAGGTTGTGGCACTACAGCGTGGGTGCAGCCAGTGCAGAGCCAGGCAGAGCAGTAGGCAGAGGACTGGGGCAGGCAGGAGTGGCCACACCCCATCTAGTCCACCAGCCTGGCTGCTGCTGGGACCAGTGGGTTCCCCTCTCCCAACGTGTCCTCCTCTCTTCTTCCCACCCCTTGTTGGGGCCCTGACATGTGGGGGCAGCTTGCCGCCTAGGAGGGAAGCATAGGGATCTCTAAGGAGTTTGCACAGGGTAGTGGTAAAAAGAGCACAGACTTGACAAACTGCCCAGGGTTTAAGTCCCAGCTGAACTAGTCACCACCAGATATGTAACCAATACTTAGACAAGTGATTTGATCTTTCTAGGCCTCAGTTTCCTCGTCTGTAGCATAAGATTAATTACAATACCTACCTCATAGTTTGGCTGCCAGGTATAAATGGGCAGATATTCTTCTTTGCGGGGGAGGCGGTAGACACTCTAAAATTGCTAAGGAGCATGCCTGAGGCATTAATGAGTTCTCTATAGAAAATACTGAAGGCAGGTTAAAACCTCCTCTGGGTCCAGGAAGTAGTACCTGGAAAGTGGCACACTCTTCTCTCATTTACCCAGGACTTTTCCACCTCTGCCTAATCCTCTCTGTAATCCTGGTTGTCATTGTTCTTCCCAGACGAGGAAACTGACACTCGGGCAGGTAAAGACCTCGCCTTGCGTGAAATGTGCGGTTTGTATAGAACTGAATGCATAACTCCCAATTTTAGTTTAAACACAGCTGCCCCACAGGTCCTTTTTCAAGGCAAAATAATCCCCCACATGTGTGAGGGCATCTGTGGGAAATGAGGATTGTGCAAGGGCAGCCTGAGAGCTTTTTCTTGGCCTTATTTGGCTTGGCCTGTGTAAGACAGTCTCAAGTTCTCAACTGTGTATTCTCTTGCTCCTTCACTAATCGACTGTTTTGGTCACTAATTCAGCATTTTTGAACACCACTGTTCAAAAATACACCGTAGAAAGAGGACAATAGGGACCCCCTCCCTGGAGAACCCTGTAGTGTAAAGGGGAGGGGTAGCCATGGCAACCACTGTGGTCCCTGTGAGAAACCAGATGACCCCAAGTGAGGGGTTGGGCGATGCATCCTGGCCAGCCACTTGGGAGAACCGTATTCAGACTTTAAACATGTTGCTGAGATGTTTAGTAACCTGGCTACACATTTAATATATTGGTGGTTTTCATTTTCTCAAAGCAGATCACTTATTAGTGTGGGTATACATACACATAGGAAAACTTTTTGAAAAGTACTCACTAGGTTTTACTAGTTTCTCTGGTTGGCAAGATCAGGTTTTCTTTTTAAAATTTATTTCTGCTCATCTGCATTTTCTAGTATGAACAAGTGTTACTGAGGAAAGATTCTTTTAAAGTACAAAATCATAATACAGCAGCATGGCTTGCCTGGACAGATGTGGGCTCACATGTTAGGGGCCAGAGCCGGGAGCTAACCGGCTCCGGGGCTGGCGAGGAAGGCTCGTGTGGAAGATGTGTCCGAGGCTGGACTCTTGAGTAGGGTTGGCAATGGCCATGCCCAGCATGCATGTAAGAGGGGAGGACCTCAAAGGTATAAGGCCATGGCATTTATTGGGACTGTCTTATAGTTGGGGCCTAAAGAAGATTGGGATGGGTCAAATGGGCTTCTCTTGGTGCAAAATGAAAGGGTCTTGTGTACCACTCTGATATCAGAGTTTAGACTTTTTCCTGAGGGTGCTGGGGAGGCCACCCGAGGCCATGGACAAACCATATCTGTGTTTTTGGCAGATCCTCTGGCAGAGGCTTCAGAGGAGAACGAGATGGACTTCCCTAGGGGATGCCATAATTAATCCGGGGAGAAATGAGGAGGACATGCCGGTTGGTGACTCCTGCTGTGGTCCCTGGTGACCTCTTTCCCCTCCAACCTCCTAGAGCATCTCTCATCCTGCCATTCCATCAGGCAGTGCCTTGGCCTTCGGGTGCAGGAACATCTCCCGGAACAAAATGTGAGCTCTCTTTGGTGGCTGGGGTCAGGTTTCCTCTCCTTTCATGCCCCTCGACCCTGGGACAGGGTTGGGCACCCAGTAAATATTTGCTAAACTTGATGAAATAAGAGTGGCAATTGCAGAGAACAAGCCATACCTGGCAGTGGACAAGGCGCCTCCACAGCCTCCCAAACTCCTCTTGGTCAAGACGCCCGTTCACTTTCAGCTGGACGAGAAGTTAAGAGTTAACTAGTCCAGGTGCCAAGAATGGGGGAAGGGGGTGCTGGTCCTGCCAATGAAGCCAGAGTCGCTCCACCCATCACCTAGGAACTCAGTGGCTCTGGTGTCACCTAGTGTGGCTCCATTCCAGCTGGGTCTCTCTGTGTCTGAAGGTAACCTGGCTTGGGCTTGTTTTACAAAGGAAAATGGACTATTGGAAAGAGAAGGGAGCCCTATGAGAGAGAGGCCAGTGTCACTTGTACCCAGGGGAAGAGCGTGAGTCCAGACATGGCCTTCACCAGTTGAGGGGTGGGTTTCCTGGCAGGGGAGGGTGGGGAGGAGCATGAAGGGATCCTGCAGCAGTGCTAGGTGAGTGTGCCAGCCCTGTGCACTTGTGTGTGGAGGGAACACTTTCCCTGTACTGACATGAGCCCTGGCCACTCCATGTAAGGGGCTCATTAATGACTAATGAAGGGAAAGAACTGACCCTTGAGAACTGGAAGGGAGCCATGGGGGAGGAAGAGGACAGCTAGAAAAGACCTGTCTGCTTTGCTGGGGTCCTTCAATCGTGACCTCCTCCGTTGGGGTATCTGCCCTGGCCTGGGGCTGCAAGGGCATTGGATTCCTCTGTCCCTGAATGATGGTGACCACAGCCAGCAGAGACAGGTCTGATTTATGATTTCATCAAGAAGCCCTCTTGTTCTACAGTGTCCGACTCTGCATTCCCAATCGAGCCTTGTTAACAGTGTGGGCGCCAGGCGATCTGTCTCTCTCGGGAGACAGCGCAGGGCTGGAGAGGGGCTGCCAGTCAGCAGCCAGGACGGCACAGGTGCGCAGCCTCTCCAGCCTGCAGGGAAAGGAGGTGGGAGGAGAGAAACTGCTGGGTGGAGTGTAGAAGTCAGGATGAGAGCCAGGACTGGGGTGTGACCCTGGGTTCTGCCACTTGTAGCCATGGAACTAGGTGACCCATCAAACTACCTCCACCTAATGTCCACATCTGCAAGCAACAGGTGCAGCTGCTGTGTAGACCAAGGAGGTTTCTACACATTTTGGTGGCTATCTTTATTGAATTGGAGGCTTGTTGAGTAAAGGAACATTCTTGAGTGGTAAGGGAAGCGGGGAAGGGAAAGTAGCTCCCATCAGTGTTCTAAGGAGGGGAGCAGGATGAAGTTAGAACAGAGTTTGAAGGCTAAACTCCTACTTCATATCCAGGCACAAGTCTGGCTAGCTCTGTGATCTGGGGAAATTACTTGACTCCCTTGAACCTCTATTTCTTCTATTGCACAAGGGGCTAATACCTCTTGTATCCCAGAGGTTGTAACAAGAATTATAAGGAAAAAAATATATATACACACACACATAAGAAATCTCAGCACACAGTAGGTGTTTGATCAACAGTAACTTTTCCATTGTTACGTGGTTGATCAGAAGAGTCAGTGAGCTGGTGGAAAATCCACAGGACCCAGGCCCTGTGCTGAGCCCTAAGAGACTCCCAGGGAAACCCACAGAAGATGGACTCCTAGGTCTTGGAGATGGGATGACTTGCAAAGGATACATCCATCAGAGCCACAATGCTGCGACACTCGTCCAGGGAGAAAGTGTCCCCTAGAGATCCAGAAGAGAGAAAACAGGAAAGACAGATGTGGCAGCAGGAGGTGTGTCGGGCTGAGGCTGGGACCAGCAGGCCCCGGGGCTGACCATACCTGTCAGAAGCTCCTGGTTGAGAAGATTCTGAAGCTGAGTGGCATCTATGTCCAGTCCCTGATTCAAACAAAGGAAGGACACGGGCATCAGCCCATGGCCAGGACTTGAGGGGAGCACCAGCCTTACCCTGTAAAAGCTCTCCAGTTTCTAAACCTTTTCTTCCCACGACATGCCTGCCTCACCTTTGTCCTGAAGCCTGTTGCTCTGGGGTTTTTAACTGGGCCGTGCTCTGGGCCATGGCCATAACCCTCCCTGAGCAACGTCTGGTCCCCACGGGGCTCCCTTGCATCCCTCCCTCCTTGTTACTGGGCTGAAGGCTGCGCTGGCCTTCTCCCCAGCATGCCTGCACTGGGGAACTTCTGGGGATGGGGATTGTTGGGGGAATCAAGGCAGGCTTTAGGTGCATTCTCCACCTGCTTCCAAAAAAGCACTACAAGGAGATGAGACAACTGTGTGTGCACGCACGCACGTGTGTGAAGGTAGGAGTTAAAAATACCAGGAATCTAGGCTCAGAGAAGGTGCTACAGTCAAGCACATTACTTAGCATTAGTCTTCCCAGGCCCTGCGGCCAAAGGGAGATGTGGTTTTCCCTTGGATTAAAAGCAGGAAGCAATGGAGGCCAAGGGGGAGAGGAATGTGCTTGGGCCTGAACCCGGAAGGCTTAATGACCTTAGGCTTCTCAGGGGGAAGTGTGCAGTGTGATGGGCCAGTTTACGGAGATGTGGAAGTGTGCTGCTTTGGGGACACTTTTACTTGGAGAGCTGGTACAGGAGTTTGGTTTTTCAACAGGTGACTTGGCAGAGGGACAGGGGTTCAGGAGGAAGAGGGTGCCTTCTGGGGCTCTTGTGAGAACCAGCATAGAAAAACAGACACGCTGTCCCTTCCATTTCCCAGGGGGGGACCTCACCAACCAGCACTAAACGCAAAAGCAACCCCGCAGCCCGTGTTTCTGTGGACCTTCAGCTAGAAGCACGAGCCTTCAGGATGCCCCCTGAGAACACATCCTGCCAGGGTCTCAAGTTGGTCCTCGGGTCATCCATCTAGCACCTCCCAGTTTGGGTAGGACAGGAAAGTTCCTACCACAGAACCTGATGCCTCCCTTTACCAGTGACACCGTAATGAGGAACTTGATTCACACAGGACCGCCCACCAGACTACAAGCAACATGGGCCATGGGCCACGTCTCTTCCTTCTCCATATTCCTCACCTAGCACACGCTCTGACCCGAATATCACACTCCATAACCAAACAAAAGAGTTTTTGGAGACAGTAGGGATGGAGATGATGGCTGCTGAAACAAATTCCCAAAGAAGCCCATGTTTGCCACCACCACCACAACAGGATTTACTCACAGGCTGACATTTTGGTGCTCCCAAAGTTCAGTGTGGGACTTAAAATGCCCCAGATGCTTGGGAAACACTTGCTAATTGACTAAAGGATAGATGGTGGATGGATCTAGCCCAACCCAGAGTCAGAGGACACCCTCCCTTCCCCACAGGCAGGCTCTGGTGATGTTATAACCACCACTACCAGGGCTAATGAAAGCAACCAGTGGTAGGGATGGTAACAAGTCACTGTATTAGTTTAAAGCTGGTGAAACCAATATAAGAGATAAGGAGAGAGGACACAGTGGAGGAATGTTTTGCTTTAAAATTTCTTTGGAGGACAGAGCGTCTGAAGGTAGTTTGGAGGTATTTTGCAATTAGGCCCTGCTCATGAATGCCCAGCTGAGGGTCACCTTAGCACAGTGCAGTGTCTGTGTCTTATTCTAATTTCCACCAAGGCCCAATATGAGATGGTAATCATTCTCCATGGGGAGGGATTTGGATGTTGTTTGGAATCTGTACCATCTTATCATATGACAAAACCTATTTTTATTTTAGAGGTACAGGTGCATAGACTATGTGTTAGAATTTTCCACCCTCCCAAGGAAGTTAGCTCTCAGGCATTCTAATCAGGCCCTGCTGACCATCGCACACAGCTAAACTTGGCTTGGTATCTGCTCCAGGGAAGCTAATCTGTCTTTATTCAATTTGACAGAAATGATTGAGCACCTACTCTGGGCCAAGGACAGTGATCAACATTGGGGACAAGGAATGCATATGATGTTATCCCTGCCTTCAGGAGCCCACAATCATCTTGGCTAGACTTGTCATGCATCAAGTGAAGGCCTATGGAAACAAGCTGGGGGTGGCCCTGAATCCTGGGTTAATTCTGATTTCAGGGAGACCGACAGTCAGCTGCGATTTGGAACGTGTACCCCTCATTTCAGCCATGTTCTTGATTTCTCATTTTCTCCCTCTGGGCCCAGCCTGCCTCCAGGATGCCACCAGCCCATTAGTCTTCTGAATGTAGAGGAGGGCTCAGCAACCTTCCTGTCCTTGGTCTCTGCCTGGCCCAAGCCGGTGTGGTATGCATAGTCATTTGAATCACTTTCTGCTTCCCACACAAACACAATTATTAATGGTATACAGCCCATCATGCGGAGCCCTTGGCAGCTCTTTTTTCCTGATAAGTCAAGGAGTTCTTTATAACAGTTTATTAAACTATTAGGAAAATCCTGTGTGCTCATAGGTGACTTGGCAGGAAGAGTGCTGTTGGTGCTTTCTGAAGCTGGCCAGCTCCTGGGAGGAACCATGCCAGATCAGGGGAGGTGGAGGCCGAATCAGAGAAGGGACGATTTCAGAGGGTGCTGCCAATGGCTTGTTTAAAGATGCAAGAAGCGACATATCCCATACGCATGCCCTATAATTATTCCCTTCTTTTCTAAGCTCCACATTGTATCCCAATGTCACCCACCCAGATGGTGCCACCAATTCTCTCCAGAGATTGGCGGCCAGATCAGTTCTGGAGATGGTCCAGAGTCAAAGAGGCTGATGAAATGATGCATCAAGTCACTTTTCCTCTCTGCCTCCCAGGAAGGGCCTGGAGAGGCCTCCCTCCCTCGAGTCCCTCCGTCACCTGCCTACACAGGTCCCCTGTACTGTACCTGCTGAGCATATCTGTAGAAAATGCTTTGTTGGGATCCATTTTCTGGAAGACTTCCCTGGATCAAAGGGAAAATAGCCAGCATTAAACTTCTGGGGAGGAGGCCGCCAGTCTGGTACAGTGAGGGAACAACTCCCACCAAGATCTGAGATGGAGGCTTTGTCTGGCAGTTGGGGAAAAAAACTTTTAGGGGAATTGGAAAACCAAAGCTTGTGGAAGGAAGAGGTTGGATCCAAACTGGCCTCGGAGGCCACCCTCACTCCCACCTCTTTGAGCCACCTTTGGCCCATTATGGCACCTTTCTTTTACCAGTTAGTGGTGGGGCAAGGAGAGAGGCAGAAGCCCTAGGGACAGGGAGTGGCCAAGGAAGCTTGCCAGCCGGACCTTCCTACACACCTACCTTCAGTTCTCTGAGGTCGAAATCGTTGCTCGAGTTCCTAAAAAAACGGGAGAACAGTGTGACAAGGATGACCAGGACATTATTCATAGGAGGCTGACACTTCTGACAAGGAAGAGTGGAAAGACCTCAGCACCACGGGATATGAAGTGGGCAGCCGTGGAGGTCAGTAGACAGAGGAACACCATGGTTATGTGCCCAGCCTGTCGGATGAACACGGTCTGATCTTCCCACCATTTCATCTCTCACAACCAGGTGGGGGTGTACGGCAAGCCCCATTGCCAGGGTGGGGAAGGGCTTTGTCTTAAGTTCCATCTTGAATTGGTAGTAATGGGCCTTGGGCCAGGGGGATGAAGTACCCAGTGGGGTGAGTCCTTGTTGACACAAATGACTTGATATTCAAGACCTTCCAGGACCAGAAATGTGTCACTCGGGCCCACCTTTCACAGTCCCGCTGTCTACCCCCCATTCTGGATACATTTGAGACAAGTTGGCACACATTCACCAACCACCTTCCCGTACCCTTGACCAGCCTCATTCGTTATTTAGCAAACCTGTGCTCATCCATTTCCCTGCCTTTGCCTAGTCTCTTTTCTTTGGCTTGTGTGGCTTTCCCTTTATGCCATTAAATTCTATTTTTTTTCTATTTTCCTCTAGGACCCACTCAAGTACTGCCATTTTCTCAAAGAAGCCTCTTCCCATCCCTCTGGCCAGCAGTGAGCCCTTCACGCTGTCCTCTCACGCAGCTTTACTTCCTGCAATGGCCCCATCACTTGGGGTCTAGTTATTGATTCCCAGTCTCTCTTGTCCCTCCTTTATGGTGATCTTCTGGAGAGCAGGGCCAGTATTGTGTCTCCACTGACCGTCCATGTTGTATTCCATGCACAGAGCACTGCACACAGTGATGTGATGCATTTTTACAAAAATAAGTAGAATAAAACACTCAGAATCCCAAAGGCTCTGTACCTGTCACTGTCTGGCATTTTCAGGAAGATTCGGAGCAAGTATTCAGTCTTCTCTCTGGGTGCCGAGGGAACCACAACATAGTGCCCAGGGATCAGATGGAAGGACTTTGTAAAGTTGGAGTTGACTTCATACTCTATGCCTTGGATATCATGTCTGAATGGGGAGAAAAATGTGGGCGGCAGCCTCTCCTGGAATTGCTGGAACTGGAAGAAAGGTGATTGTTGTGAGAAAGTATGGTCCCCAGCCACCAGGAGAGAGGCTCACCTTCCAGATCCCGCTCTGTTCACCAGAACAGCAATTACAGGGCCTGGACAGGGAGACAGTGAACTCTCAAAAAACCCACTAGAGTTATAGTGATATTTTTATCTAGACTCCACACACTACAATTAATGATACATAAAACTATCTCTTTAAGCCTAGCAGCATCCTGGGTCTCTGGTTTCGTTTTGTTTTTTTCTTCCCTCTACTTACACACAGAGAAGGCTGGTGACATCGTGCCAATGCTGAATTTCCTTGGGGGCCTTATATCCCACTTTCTCCTAAACCTTTAGCAAATGCTCTGGCTGTCACTGCATTACAGAGTGGCATTCTTCTCCCTTCCTCTGTTCCCTCTCTCCAGAAGAGCCCAGAGATTCCTTCTCATTGGAAAATAATAGGCCCTGATCATTTTCCTTTTATTTCAATATTTTCTGAGAGATAAAACAATAAATATAATGCAGTTCCTATTACCAGATGTCACATACATATTACATAATAAAAACCCCTTACTAAACAAATTTTCCCCACTACAGTGGAGCATGGGGATTCCATTTAGAATGGTTATGCAGCATGAAATGATTATTTATGAGTTCTGCTGTGGGGGAGAACTGGGGGAAGATGAGAATTTCTCTACAGGAAGCAGGAACAGAGTTGGGCTGCAGAGTGAGACAGGAGGTAGGTCACTGCCCTAGGTGTACAGCAGAGGGCTGGGTGGAAGCAGCCCCCATGGGTTTGGGAGGCTGACTTGCTTGGGCCCCTCGGGCAGAAGCCATGATAACTGTCTTCTTCAGAGCTATGTCCTGTGCTCTGGGCAGGAGTGTGTATGCAGAGGTGCGTGGGCAGCCTGGCTGCTACAGTCTAGGAGGCAAGGATGGCCCTGTGTCCTGCTCTCCTCCCTCCATTAGACCTCACAGCTCTGCCAGGTTTCCTATTCTTTGGAAAACACTTGCTCAGGGCAGCCCGCAAGTGGGGTGTGGGCAGTGATGAGAGGTCTTGGTCCAGCGCTCCGAGGAGCATACCTCAAATTAATACAGGGCTGGCTGGGCACAGAGCTGACTGTCACTCTAGGGAAAGGGCTTGTGCCTTTTCCTGGATCCAGTCCCTACCCTGTTCTCCAGCTCTGGGAACTAGAGTGCCATCCCATTCCTAGCCCTTGAGGGTTTCCTCAATGCCCTTTCACTGTCCCACATCCATGGCTGGTGGGGCCAAGGGCCAGAGGCAGATCCTAACTTTCTGCTCTGTGGCTCGGCCACCACTGTGGGGCAGGTCTCCTGCTGCCAGCTTCCTGACAGGACTTCTGAGTCTCCCCTGCTCTCAGACTCCCTGTCCTGGCCTCTGTCTACCTATTGAGCCTCCCCCGGAAGGCCTGGAGGGGCTGCAGTCACCCTCTGTTGGCTGTGGCCCATCTGCTTCCCTTCCACCTCCTGTGCCTTCCCCTGCAGCTGAGGGCACTGCAGAGCTCACAGCTGTGGAGGGACTCACAGCCGTTGGAGGGGCTGCGTGCCTGGAGGACGGGTTTCTGGATTTCATCCATCCTTCTCTATTATCTTCTAGAGTTTGAGGTCACCTGTCATCAATACTGAGCTAGGTCATCTGTTTAGGAGGGGCAGCGACTTGCTTGTCAGAGGAACCGGAGGGTATGCCTGAAGCTGCGTGCGGACGGCACCCTTGGGTCTGTGATGGATTTGGGGCTGATTGATTTGGGAGTCTGAAGGTTCTTCTCGGGTCCCCTCAACAATACAGACGAACCAGCTGCACCCGCCTTCTGTGTTAGGGGCCAAAAACCGAGGATGGCTTCGTGATTGTAGCCCTTCTGGAATGTTGAACAAGAGAACCCTCTAGGGGTCCAGATTTCAGACCAGGACAACTAAATATTTTCCTGCTTTGTTGACCTGTTTGGAGAGGTCAACCAAAATTTGCAGCCAGAGGACATGTGAAGGACACGGTGTTGGAAGAGGTTACACTTTACCAAGGGGCAGCACCAAGAAGCCTGCCCAGTGAGGACGGTGGTGATCAATACCTGGGAGTCCACCTGTGGGGAAGAGGAAGAAAGGTGTTCAGGAGGCCTGCTAGAGTTGGGAAATGTCCCCTAAGGCCCATGTGAAAAACAGCTCAGGGTGCAGTTTTTCTCAGTTTCCCAGTCACAGTGAAGTGAATAGGCCTCCCCACCACGATGGACTGAGCCACCACAGGTTCAAAGCAACAGGACTGACTGACCGTGGACGGAAACCCCTGAAACCATGAGCCGAACGTAAAACTTTCCTCCTTTTAAGTTGATTGTATCTCAGGCATTTTGTCACAGTAATGGAAATCCAACTAACATAAGCCAGACCACAACAGAAAGATAGGTGGGGTCCCCCAGCCTGGCTCACAGACTTGTGCTCCTTCTTTTTGTGCAGTTGACCTGTTCCCTGGCACACTGGTGGTAAATGGATGATTACTCTAACTCCCTGCAGGATTGTAAAAAAGGAAATCTACTCCATTGTGAACAGCAAGAAGGAAACTGAAGAGGAAAGAAGGTGTCTGAGAAGAGGAGGAGGTGACCCTTTGTCCCTCAGCAAGGTGTGGTTACTGTTCATGGCAGTGATAACATTGAAGAGAAAGGAGAGACACAGGCAGGGCTGGAGATAAGAGAGAACTTTGCTGTCACTCTAGAGCAGGGGCTTGTGCCCAGGAAGAGCACAAGCACAATCCTGGCCTGGGGGAGGCGCTTTGGGGCAAGGACGAAATGGCTTATCTGCCCTTTTCCACTGTCTTCACCACTGCCTGCTGCTCATCCACCACTGCTCCCTGCTCCTGCAGCAGCTGGGGAGCACAGGGCTGCACCAGGGGGTACAATTTCAGTTGTGCCAGACATTGTTCCCACTGAGTCCCAAGTGCACCAGAGAGCCCAGCAGCTGGCATACATAGAGCCTCTTTTCTCAGCTGCACAGCAAAAAAGAACTCAAATCTCTTTTGAGCTGTCAACGTCTAGACTCCTCTTTGGTTTTTTAACTGAATCAGGATCCTTATCCACTGAGATATCCAGAGAGCCTGAGGAGATCTTGGGAAGCTGAGAAATAATGCATCTCTGGTAAAAAAAAAGAGAGAAGTGGGCTCTGGTAGTATTTTTAAAACTGAGAATGATTACAGCCCTGCTAGGGCTTCTAAATGAAAAGACTCTGGGCAAAACAGTTAACACCAGGGTGTTGTATTGCCCAGCTCTGGGGCCCCAGGCTTGCAGACAATAACCCAAGTAACCACTCCAGGAGCTGTGCACTGGGGCAGCCCCAGACCGTCTTGGGGGCTTCTGTCTTCCATTCGAAATGGAAGAGTTGGCCGAGATGCTTTTAGTAGACTCATCTGGTGTTTGAGTCCTGGCTGGGCAGACCAGGTACTCAACACAGCTCCTGGATTTATAACTCCTGTTTTGTTTTGTTTTCCTTTAACTCTTTACAAAAGTTTGACCAATGATTCTCAAACATAATGTGCGTAATCAGCCCCTGAGGAGCTTGTTAAAACACAGATTTTCAGACTCTGTTCTTGCACAATCTGATTAGGAGGTCTGCGGCAGGCCCAGGAATCTGCCTAATTACAACAGCTGAACTTAGATCAGACCACCTTTTAAGGTACAGGCATTAAGTTCTGCATCATACCAGGAAAAGCTGACAAGTGACCCAGGCAGGAGGTATGTCCCATTACAAACAATGTCGAGTCTAATTTCTCTCTAGTTTTAAGGGTTTTTTTTTTTCCATTTTGTTCATTTCAGATTTCAAGTTGGACAGGTCAGTGCTCCAGACCCTTGGGCTTTATCTTCAAAGCTGTGGTGTACTCCAATCTCCCAGCCTGACCAGCCGCTCTCCCCAGCCCAAGGTATACAGAAATGTCCCAAAGGGCAAGCCCTGAGACAGGCTGCCTTACCTTGAACACCTGGAAGCGTATCGGAAAGTTCTCATCTTCTGCCTTCAAGCTTTGTGGCTTGACAGTGAAGGACACCACAATGTTGTGGCCCCTCGTGAGCTCTGACACATCGAAGAAGTACTGAGTTTCCCTCCTGGGTGCTCCTGGGTGAGAAAGAGCCATTACTGGTGCTCAGCTCCACGGCTGGGACCCTCAATGAGGGTTATGTCCAGTTCAGAGAGTGCTGTGGGGTTGGCTTATACACTCTGCATTTGGAGCCCTAAGACCTGGGTCTCTACCCAGTTGTGGTACAAGTTTCTTCATTTCCTAAATTCCAGTCTCCTCGTCTTAAAAACAGGGAGGGAGTAAAGTCCCCATTTGCTAATGTTTTTTAAATGTAAAGTCAAGGGCTGTGTTTATAATAATAAGTGAAATTCCAGAGTCCTGAAGTAGGCATGGCCTTATGCTCTGATGTCACCATGGAGCCTTGAAATGGTGTCAATGGTTCAAGCATCAAAGGAAATGGGAAAACAGGTAGAGAGGGCGATCCACACTGCTCTTCTACCCAAGCATGCTCCGTGGAAGCTAGAGCGAGAAGAAAATCTCATGTGGAAACATTTCTTCAATGCATGAAAAAATAAAGGTAAGTCAGGATCAAGGTGAATAGACCCATATCAGAAGATTTAGGTCACAACGGGGAAGCTCTGAGAGTGGGGGAGGGACCTGAAGACCATCGCAGTCATGGGCTTTCTACGGGGATTGAGCAAGACAATGCATTAAAATGCACGGAGCAGCATACAGCAGGTGCTGCATCAATGGCTCCCTTCTCTCCCTCCCTGTAAGGTATTCCTAAAAATGGCCCCAATGCATAATTTTGTTTGTTTCATTGATATGCATCATATCCAAGGAAGAGGGCTTTGGCTGTATAGGCAGGCACAGCTCAGGAAGATGAATCAGAACATTTGCTGCCCAAGAATGACTGGGCAGTTCTTTGAGTCTGTCCATGGCCTCCTGGTGAGGAGGCTATCTGAGTAGCAGAGTGATCACTGGCACCAGGAGGTTGAAAAGAGGGACACCCTGGGGCCTGGGGTCATTCAAACAGCACATTCTCAGCAGGCAGCTGCTCAGGAGAAGAAATGCATATGTACACATACACACTTTCACACACAAATATATTGTACACAACCTCTTTTATCAAGGATATATTAGCACACTCTGATTCAACTCCACAGGAAGCAATTTCACTTATCAATGTCACAGGGAGCGGGAGGTACAATAAGGGAAGGCGACTTAGAAGTAAGGACAAAGTCAACAAGTTTTATCCCAGGGGAACCTGTCCATGGCTCAGAAGTGCCACCACAGCTGTCTTACAACCAGCCTGGGGTAGGGACACTCTTCCTTGAGTCTGGGTGGTGCTTTGTAGGTTCAAGGAGCAGACAGGCTTACTCATTCCACCATTTACAGTTGGGGAGGCTGAGGACAAAGACATAAGCTATGTTCTCAGAGTCACAAAGTTAGTGTGCAGCACAGACAATAGTTTAAGCAAGGTCTCAACTTTGGTCTGGGCTTCTTTTCACAGCCTTACCCCACCGTCCTGGATATGTTCTAAAGAGCAGGGATTCTGTTCCACTCCCTAGAGGTAGATGGAGGTGAGAAGAAGGAACTTGGTGGAACACAAAGGGCCAAGGGAGGCATGGTAGAGATTCTCCCGCCACCTCCCAACGGCTGCCATGTTCCTTGAAGAAGCAGTAGCTTCTTTAGGCTGACAAATTCCTCTCCTTTCCGCATCAGGCTCATGGTCTATTTAGAACTAAAGGTCAGAGATGGTCAAATCCAGGGCAGCAGCAGGGCTGAAGGTCTGCTGGTCTGGCAGAATGATCCCCAACATCCTACCTACCTGTGGTGTTTCCAAGAAGCACTTGGTTCTTAAACATGATTAGGTGCCATCTTTCATGGGGTGTGAGCCCATGGTCCAGAGTGATGGGGAATTGGTTACAGATGAACAGGCAGGAGAAGTTCTCTTGGAAATCTTGACATGACATCCTGTGGAAAACAGATACATGTCACTAAAGGTCGGCCAGTGTGTCCCCTGGTGAGGGTTCCCATCACTTCATTGTACCTTTTCAGCATCACCTCAAGTATCCATTGACTTACCACAGACCCACACAAAGACCTGGGTCGGATTCTTGCTGATTTAGCACCACACTGCCTTTTTAGGATCTCTCCCTCCAGTGTTTGGGAGGGCAATAACAGAGTCATATTTTGAGTTTTTCGTGTCACCTGGGAGGGGCTATATCATTAATTATTCCCTGAGTCACTGATCCAACCATGAACCTTCCATGACCAGTGGGACACGCCAGCCTCTCTGCTGTGGGCCCCACCTGCTGCCAGGAAGTTGGCTTTTCCCTGGGGCCCTTTGCCAAATCCATTGTTGAGGTTTTTATGAAAACAAAGTTGAGTCCACACCCAAAATCCCACCTCCTACTGTGAAAAAGTGGAAATATGGGGGATATTTATATTTCTAATTTACATTTGTTCCTCTGATTTTTAATAACCCAGGCTCCTTTTCACACTTGCTAAATTTCATCTAAATATGTTACTAAGTAAACTCGACAACCCCTCCAAGAAATGTCCACTTCCTCCTCTAAGAGGTGTGCACATGGTGGGACCTGCCTTTTTAAAGCATCTGGCTGTCTAGTCTGCCTGCCTTCTGGGAGACGACAGTGACATCCCTCCCAGAATTCCAGAGTCGGGTTAAGAAATGAACTTCCCGCTCCTCTTTTGGAGATTCATGTCAGAGGGAGATTGTGGAATTGCATGCAGGGTCACAATAAGATGACATGGAAGATATGGGCATGACAACCAGGTTGCCTGGCTTCCAAGAAGCTGTTCATTTCAAATCCTGGATGCCCTCATTCCCTTTATCATCAAAATATCTGGGAAAGCCCAGTACCTCATAACCAAGGTGGCTTTCCCACTAAGACAGGGAACGCAATGATGTCCCACACAAAGTCTTTTTGTCTTTGTAGAAAAAATAGGCTCCCTCTAAACAGGTCTCTGCGATTCTCATTTCCAACCTCACGAAAGTTTAGGGAAAGGGGTAGGGACCGAGGGTTTGGGTGACGGTTAAAGGTTCAAAACAGCATTCTTAAAGAGGCTAATACCAAAACTCTCCATCTTCCTTGTTCTCATACAGTTGGCTTTTCCGCTGGTCACGGGTCTCCTGCCATTCCCGGGACCTGTGTGTGGACAGATGCGGGGTGAGATCTCGCAGAGCATTCTCTATCAACCATATGTTGCCCTAGCAGGGTCACTTGTCACAGGCCATTTTTACTTCCTAGGGAAAGGACTCAGTCATTCTCGCATGCTGATGGCTTCCAAACATCTGTCCCCAGCCTGTTCCTCTATGCCGAGCTCTGGACGGATCTGTATTCCACCACCCATTTCCACTAGAGTCTCTCAGTGACCTCAAATCATCTGCCCTTACTCACCCTTTACCTCCTCTATTGCCTGAGAAAGATGAAGAATCTCTCCTCTCTCCCTCTCTGCCTCTCTCCCTTGGTACCCTCAGCTCTAAACAGTCACCAAAGATTATTCATTTATCGATTCTGCCTCCTAGACACCTCTCGCAGCCACTCACTCACTTCTACCCCTACTTTTGTTGTCCTTCTTCATATCACCCTCAACCCCCCTTGAACATTGAACTGGTTTCCCTCTACTGGGTCCTTCCCACGTTCCTACCTACTCTCCACATTGTCATTCAAATCATGGTTCTCAAATATGAACTTGATTATGTCATTTCCCTACTGAGCACATGCCAGGGGTTCCCTATTACTCTCCAGGCAAAGTTCTACCTCCTTAAAGAAAACTCTGGCCTCTGCCCACATCTCGAAACTTACCTGGGAAATTCTGTTCTTCCCCACCCCACCTTGTGCTTGAATTCATTCTGTGCCCCAGCAGTCACGAATGTCTTTATTTTTTTAAAAGACACTCCAACCCCACAGGCTGGCTTTCACCTTGATGTTCCCCCATCTGGAGTGCTTTTCCTCCCCTCTGTTCTGTAACCTGTTAACTCTCACTGATCTCTCCTTCTAAAGGGCACCTCTTCCAGGAAGCCTCCCATGGCCCAATGACCCACCTGCTGCACACCCAGAGTAGGTGCCCTCCTTTGAGCACTCAGCATCCCTCACCACTCCTATTTTAGTCTCAGCACCCTGTATTGCTATTGTTGCCCTCCCTCGCTAGATTCCCAGTGCCAGGAGCCTCATGTACCATAATACCATCACAGGGGTCTGACACATGCCTTGTCACATACTCAGGACACAAGAAGATTTGCTTGCTTCCTTGCTTAGTTAACTAATTACCACTGTCCACATCACTGGGAGGATGAAGCTCGTCCAGAGTCTAGGGAGGAGGAGACCCTCCTTCAGTCTGCTGTTCAAAGCAGAGGCAAGCTCATAGGCGATGGGCCCCAGAGGCACAAAATCTAATGAGATCTTTCCCGTAGAGGAGCTCACATTGACAGCCTGGGTCACCTCTGTGCTGGGACAGCAAGGCAGGGACCACCACTCGGGCTTCTGGCTGCAGGCTGAGGCAGTCAGATGTGTTATTGTAAAATGGCAATTTTATAATTAAGTGATAATTACATTTTCTGCAGTGTGTAAGGGAAAATAAATGTAGTGTAAATCAATACTCTATCGACTCATGTAAGTTTGCCTTTAAGTGTGTGCGACTGAAATTTCAATTATGGCTGAGATTAGACCATCCAGCTCCCTCCATCCATCTCCATTCCTAAAAAGTAGGAAGAAATCGACCACCTGCATGGAGACAGTGATTATGCGGACCCCACTGCTTCCTTCCAGCCTGGGTTTTGCTGGGAGGTGGCAACCTTCAGCATTCACAAGGGACATGATCCTACAGAGCTGGTGCTGCTAGATCCCCTCTCTGCAGGCACGGCTCCACTTCATGCCTGAGCCTGTAAGGAATAAATCCAAGCTTCTAAGCTGGCATTGGGCCATCCAGCCCCAGCCCCACTTTCTGCACTTCTTCTGACTCAGTCCAGCTTGTTGGCCTTGAGCAGATTACTCATATTCCTGGACAGGGATGCTGGGATGCTGGCCCTCTTACCCAGTGTCCCTTCTGAAGTGTAGCATATTCCTTCCCTGCAGAGGCAACTCATGTTCAATCCAGTCCATGACATTCTTCCCAACATGTCCATCCAGGGGACATTGTCTTTCCCTGATCTCTAGTGTCCCTTATAGATCATTTGAGGCTTAGCACGGGGACACGGATGAAATAGCAACTCCTGGGAGAAAACTGCCTGCTCCCCAGCCTACAGAATCTGTCCTTGCCACCGGCCTTTGCTCTACTCCCACCTCTAATCGCCAACCCCAAACTAGGGATTCTGGCTAAATCGAATCACCTACTGGGCCATATTTGACAGCTTGGGGTAATGGCGGACAAGAAGAACTTGAAAAGGGAGAAGATTCTAGAATTTATGTTGCAAGGGAAAAGGAGACCCCCAGAAGAGAAAGAAAGAATAGAGGCAAGAGAAAAAGGAGGAAGGGGACAGGATGAGGAAGACATTGCCAGGTTGGACTGGTTCATGCTTTTGCAAGTTTGTTTCCCTTCTGTGGCTGGTTTTGGTGGCTCTGTTTTCCAGGGGGCGTCTACAAATTCATTTTGCTGTTTCCTCCTTTCTTTCCTCTCTCCCTTGCTTTTCTACTCGTCCCCTACTCCCATTAAACCTTCATCTCAACATTTGCTGAGTTCCCACATGTGCCAGGTACACACCAGCCACTGGGTCTCTCAGAGAATTGGAGCAGTGGTGCCACAGCCTGGCAGGGCTGCAGGCTGGGTCTGGGCAGACGGCAGTGGGGTCTGGAGCCAGCTGACTGTGCCCACCTTTCAGACCCCGCTGTGCTCACAGCGCTGCTTCCCACTGCTCACTGGGTCGGTCTCCAGTCTGAAGGTGTTGCATTTCCTTTCCCCTAACGCTCCCCACCCCCACCCCCACCAGCAACAAGGCTGTGGCCACTCTGTTGTGAAGCATTTCACACATCTTCCCAAGCCCTCAGAGGAGTGCCTCATGGGCTTCCAGGAGAAGCAAGCAACCTATTGCCGACCCTCGACCTTTCCCAGGGCCACCTGCACATTCTCAGTTGGGTGGGGGTGGGTGGGACTCCAGGGATTGTCCCCCGGCTGCTGACCATACAGCTGGACCCCTACCAGGGCATGCTCATCTGGACACTGGAGATCCATCTACTCCATTTACTCCTATCATGAGCAAGGTGCCCCTTCAGACTCCTGGGACACCTGGGAGTCCAGGTCAGCAGGCAGGCCTGACCTGAGTAGGTTGAGTAAAAAGATCCTTCAGACCTTTGTCTTGGTTTCTCCAGTTCCCCCAGATGTGACTCCATGGGCTCTCTTTCAGGGATGAGTCTCTCTACCTCTCTCTCTCTTTCCAAGTAGGGGCTCAGCCCTGCCCTGCCACCCGCCCTGGGTAGGTGGATTCTCAGCCCTAGACTTTCGTGTCCTGGAGCGTCTCATCATCTGTCCATACCTCATAGCACCCACCCAGCAGCACAGGGCACACCGTGTACAGAGGGCACACTGTCGTTGCCTGATAGACACTAGAGAATGGCATCATGGGAATGTGAGGTGGACGGGCAGCCACACCTAGCTGTGAACTGGTCAGGCCTGCAGAAAGGTCTGCCCAGGCAGGACGTGCTGCCCTTGGGGGCAGGTGCTCTCAGGGCTGTGCTCTCAGTGGGAAGCCGTACCCGTCTCCCCAGCGCCCTCTCCATTCCGTGTTGCCCCAGGGGTTCCACAGGCGGATGATTTCTTCCCAGCCCCTCCTGTACTGAATCTGCAACGAAGAACAGAAAAGGAAACTGTCAGGGCTCTCTGGCAAAAGTCAGCAGAAAGAGGGAATATGAATGCAGCTGCTTCTTTATCTCCGAGGACTAATTTAACTTCTGACCTCATTTGGCTGCAGCCAGGAAAAAAAAAAATTGAAAGGAAAAAAAAAATCAATGTTTCTCTCTTGCCGCCTGCATGGAGTTGGAATGAGATAGAGAAGAAAATGGCCCCTCATTCTGCTGAGCCCTTTGCAGGGCAGGTGCCACTTTATCATAGTCTCCGACTGCATCCAAGAACCTGGGTGAGCTCAGATTTAATAGCAGATAAATAGCAGAGGATGTAGCTTCCGGCTGCAGAGGACAGATCTTTATGGGTTCCCAGCCTCCTCCACCCCCTGTCACAGAAGGTATCTCTATCCCAGGGACAGAGCCCCCTTCCCTGCCAGCTCTTGTGGGGAGCTGCAGTGCGATCTCCATAGTGCTGTCGTGAAGGCAGAGGGTAGAGAAGGCTGCTGCGACACTGGGACAGCCTGGGAACTGAGGGGCTAAGGCTAGACCTCCTCATCCTGCACCTCATCCTGCTGGTCAGAAGCCTCTAAGAGCAGATGGCCTGCAGTGGCCTAGCTCTCCATGTTGTCACTCATCTGATACTGAAGTCGCACCCTGGCTCCTTTATTCCCACTAAGCCAAAGGCAGGACTGTAGGAAAGGTACAAGAAACAACAGCACACCCTAGAACCTCCATTTCCAGGGGCCTGGAGCCCTCAGCCTGGGGGGGGGGGATTAAAATATGATCAAGTTGTAGCTGGGATATTGATCTGTGCTAAGGCTCTCTGAGCAGAGAGCAGAAGGTGGGAGAGAGTGAGTCCACTGACTGTAGGTCAGAAGGGCTGAGAAAACTGAGCAGCGCATCAGCGTTCAGAGAAGACCATACGTGGAAGCGGGGCTCAGAGCCAGGGGCCGGCTAACTTGCCTTACCTCAGGTGCAGTCCTCTGGAGTAGATGGTTACACGATGGTTTTCTCCTCTTGTCTTGCAGAGGAGAAAACTGAGCATCAGAGAGGGTAAGCGAGATTCCCAAGGCCACAAAGTAAGCCAGGGAGTGGGGCAGAATTCTTATCCTAGATACTGTTCGTCTCTAAAGACCAGGCTCTTAATTTTGAAACTGGACATAGATAAGACCCTTCTGAGATGTGGCTGTGATCTTGGCCTCAAAATTAACCCTCGATCCCCCTGCCCCAGCTACCAACAGGGCATTGCCCTGAGAAGTAACATGGCCACATGAGGGCTCTGGAACTTGGCTGGGATGAGGGTCTTTTCTGTTGCTCTCTTGTCTGCCCCATCTCTGGCCAGCACCACAGTGGAACATGCTCTGGCTTTTGGTGCCACCACAGGGTCTCCTGATACAGAGTTCCCACCCCTCCCTGATCTACCCCGAGGCCTTGCACACAGTTCATCATTAGCTGCCAGCACCTGCCGGAGTCCACTGAGCAGGGACATGAGAAATGGTTGCCCGGTGGCCCACAGAGCTTAATGAGCCACCCTCAGTGCCCAACAGATAGTCAGGGGCTCAGTTGGGCACATGGAAGGAAAGCAGCCAGTGATTCAAAGGGGCTGGGAGCAGGGCTAAATGAGGCATGCCGATAAACACTCACCCCCCTTGCCCAGGGGAGTCACTGCGGAGCTAGGTGCATAATAAAAAATGCCAATTTCATTTATCTTCCTGTCTGTGTCCTGCCTGGAGGGAGGATGAGCAGATTAAAAAGCACGCTACATTTATGGGCTGGTTTAATCTTAACACTGGTGGCTCAGTGTTATAGCCTCCTCTCCCTGGAGGAGGATTCCTTGACCAAGTCAAGTTCTGGACCATGTGTGATGGTGTCCTTTATGATGGTCCCCTACTAGTGACCACATGGACCTTGGCAAGGGGTGCAAGGGTCACATTTGAGGCAAGGTCATGGCTACAGGTGACTCAGAGTGGGCTGAATCAGTTTCTTCACTGCCCTGGCTGCTGACCTTAACTCCTTACTTTGGCCAACTTCTCAGAAAAGGTGTTGCTGGGCAAGAGGTGGCCCAGGTTACCTACCCTGGAATAGTAGCTCCTCAGACGTATTCTTTTGAATATGTTCCATTGGCCATTGATAGTTATTCCCAGAAAATATGGTTTCATGGCTAAAGGTAAATTAAAACCAAGTCATATTTATCTTGTTAATACAGACCTTCTCAGAACCTTTAAACTACTAATGTATATTGTGAGTTTCCCAGAAAGGGAAATGGTGAGCTGCATTTTTCCCAAATGTGTTTGGAAACCTGTTTTCACAGAGGATCTTCTAGGCTAGTGCTCCCAAAGGCACATTCTGCAAAGGGTCAGCTGCTCAGAATGGCAGGGTGGGATGGACCACAGAAGACATGGTCTTGATCATCCATCATCCCAGGTGAGGTGCTCCATTCAGACTACTCCTTCTTCCCACGACCAACATGGCGGATGTCACTGGATCACCGCTCTCTTTTCCACATTCGGACTCAGTGGCAAGGTCTTCTCCGCACAGGCGTCCAGACAGCATGGAAAGTGGAAAAAGCTGAAGATAAAAGCTATTTCCATCCCCAGACTTGTCCACATCCGGGGCGGGGAGCTTCACACTGCAGAGTGTTCGTCTGTGGTCAGGGGTGACGATGGTACTGCTTGTCCCACTGAGAACTCAGGCAAGGGTTTGGGGTACAGTTTGGAGGACCAGAGTCTGGAGCCACTGTAACAGATCTCTTCGGGCTTCCTGGGTGATCAGGGAAAGCTTTTCCTTGCTGGTGGGAAATGTTTTGTGGGCTCCTTGCTCTGTTCTGTGATGGTGGATCTGCAATGTTATGGTCACAGGCCAAAGACAAATCCATTGATACACTCATGCTAGCGCAATTACCCATTGATCCAGCGAACCTTTATTAGGTGCCAGCTCTTTTCTAGTAGGCACCTAACTCAGTAGGAGCAGTTCCTTGTTGATTTACCTTTGGGAGGCACTCAGGAGACAGGAGATACTGGCCCTGTTCTGTGAATCGAGACACTCAGTAAAATGAAACAATGGAGTGACTGGCCTCAGTCAATGGCCAGGAGAAACGGATCGATACAGAGGGGGGGTAGTTTGAGAAAGCCACAAATTGAAGCTGACACTCAGCGATCCCGGTCCGCAAGTCCCTGTGAGACAGACACTTTGGAGTTTGGAACTCTGTGTCTTAGGGCCTAGAGGAGTAGTGGGAAATGGGAAATACAGAGGTGGGCCCTTAACAAGAAATCTCACAAGCCTGGCAAGTGGAATTGCTCCAGCTGCACGACAAGCACAGATGGGGAATGGGAAACGAAGTCCCTCAATGGGCCATTTTTCTGGCTGCTGTTCCATGACTTTGCAAAAAGCGTTTTTTTTTTTTTTTTCCCCATCAGGCTTCAGCTTCTCCCCACATGAATGGAAAAAGCTGGACTTCAGTGTAGACCAATCATGCCCACACAGCAATTACACACATCTCTGTCCACCCACGTCAGTTCATGCATCTGGGGAAAGATTGCCCTCTAGTGCTGTCCCCCGCCTCCCTCGCTCCACAGGAATCATGTTTCATCTGGGCACATGGAAGCCAGCTAGATGGTGTGTCTCCCAGCCTCCCTTGGGCTTTGGTGTGGCCACGGGATTAAATTAGGCCTCTTTATCCTCTGCTGACTGGGAGATGAGGGACTCAGAGCAGCTGTCTTGGGCTCTTAGGTGGATGGCCCCTCATGAGGATGGCAGAGCCAACTACGAAACCCAGTTGTCTGCTTCACCAAGAGAAAAGTGAAATTTGTCTTGGTTCAGCCCCTGTAGTTTAGAGTATCTTTGTTCAATCAGTTTAGCGTGAACATCACGGGGCACATCACCCCAGCCCTGACTTAACTGCATGATCCTTCTACCTTCTCTTAGCTACTCCCTGGCCTAGCTAGAGGCTCTGACCTGAGATCATTTTAAGGAGAGCAAGGTCACTGAGCGGTTCCTGGGACAGAGGGTCCTGGGTACCAGAACTCCTGGTTGAAGACCAGGGAGCGAGGCTGCCCACAGAAGTTGCTACTGTGAGGGTAGGAGGGACACATGTCAGCTTTGCTGGGCTTGCTGGAGGCATGGGGTTCTGGCTCCTGTTGAGAGGGGCAAGAACCCCAGGGCAGAACCCAGGGGCAGGACGCCAGGCCAGCCGGCCAGCCTCACCTTCTCAGCCCCGGTCACGGTGTAGGCGTGCTGACTCACCAGCCCGTTCTTCATCACCTGGGCCCCAGCGGTTGGCTGCAGAGGAGAAAGGAAGACCAAGCACTGAGTTCCCTCCCCGTGTGCAGAACTCTCTTATAGAGAGGCAGAGATGACAGCTGGAGGGTGACCGAGGGTCCAGGAGACTGCCCCATGGCTGATGGAACACCACAGAGTCCTGATGATCTGGGCTGCTTGCTCCACCCACCACCCAGGATGGACAAGACCCAGCACAGAATGTGTCCCGAATAGACAGCAGGAGGCAGGGATTCTGCTGAGGCCCCTGAAATGAGCAACGGGGACTTAAAGTGCACTGTAGATCTCTGATCTAGTGTAGATCTCTGGTGGCATTTTGGGTTAGAGAGGTGGGACTCCAAACCCATATATTTAAAGAGTGCAGGAAGTGTCCCATGGATAGGGAACAGACTTTGCCTAACAGACTCAAATAACTTGGAGGATCCCCTCCAAGCTTTTCAAAATGAGACATGCTGGCCTTATAAACCCAAAACAGAATACAAAGAAGCTCCTCATGGCAGCAGGAACTGCCTTATGCAGTGCATGATGACCCCCTGGTTATCAGGCTCCTGGTCAGGAAGAAGTAGTAGGTCCAGGCTTTGAAGGCAGCAGCAGCAGAGTCCCTGCTCAGCACTTTCTGGCTATGTGCGGAACACCCTGCTTACCCCTCAGCCTGTGTCCTCTTCTGGGAAGTGATTTCTGCACTACTCACTTCAGAGGGAGGGCTACTGGGATTAGACGAGGTGAGATGGGAGCTGGGTAAAGCTCACCAGCAAATGCTCCACCGTGGCCCTTGCCTTTCCCCTGCCCGACTTTGGGTCCCTGGCTGGACACTCCAGGGGGAGCAAAGACTGGAACAGTGCAAAGAGGCTCCTCATCTACTCACCCCATTTGGGGTGGCACAAGTCATCAGGGAGCCTGTCTCGGCTGCCATCTTTACTGCCATCAGCAGGTTGGAAGGGGAGGAGTGCAGGTTGACAGTGGTGACCACCCCTCCTGTGAGGTCCACCAGGGCGTTTTCGATGTAGCCATAGTGCAGTTGGGAGTAGGATCCACGCAATCTGGGAGGGGGAAGTCATATCAGCATTCGGAACCCTTTGAGGGGACACATCAGGAAGGGAGATTGCACACTGACCCTCTGCAGGGTTCCCAGGTGAGGACTGGCTTGATCCACTCTGCAGGACCACCACCCAGGAGCAAAGAACATGACAAGCCCTTAGTAAACCCTGGGTGTTATTTAATGAGTATCTAATACTCCTCGTTCAGCCGGACAACGTGCTGAGCCCTGACTGTGTGCCAGGCCCACATTAGGGGCCAGGCTAGGGAGCACACCAGTTATGTGTCCAAAGACAAGCAAGACCCCGTCCCTGCCTTCCAGCAGGGACAAGCAGCAAAAAGCCTGTTCCCACCCTGGGCGGACCCTGATCGAGAGCTTCTGTTCCCAGAACCAGCCTGGAATCAGCAGGGGGACAAGGTGGCTTTACTCAGGTAACCAAGGTGGCTTTACTCAGGTAACACAGAAAGGGACAAATCTGACATAAGACTCCCTCAGACTGTCATCCTGAGACCTCTTCCCATCTCCCACCACCCACCACTACTGGGCCTTCTGTTTTTGCATCTGCACCCCCCCCCCCAAATACCCAGCCTCTATGCCCCTATCTTGCCCTACTCTGGATTCTGCCCCAAGCTTCAGCAGCTCATCACAGACCACCTGGGCCCAACCCCTGGCCTCGGAGCTCTTGAGCCCTCCATCCCTGAGAAGAGGCTGAAGGTTTCTAGGGCTCATCTGGGAAATGGGCATGAACAGCACCTGCCTTGTGGGGCGGTGGGTGTCACTGCTGGTGAGTGGATCGTGTGCACCTGGCTCTGTGACACTGGTGTCAGCGTGAGACATCAGGACACACTCTCCTTAGAAGGGGGTCATAAGAACAACATGTTGGGTTTCTTGGCCCTTCTTGGTGTGTATTTGCTACAATCATGGGGGATCCCTGTGGATCAGAGAGGACAGGCCGAGCCTAACCTGGGGTCTCGGGAAGACTTCAGGGAGGGACCCTCTGAGTCCAGGTTCACCCAGGTAAGGAAAGAGGTACAGGTATTCCAAGGAGGAGGAACTGCAGTGGGGAGACCCCCAGCACCTGAAGAGCTGGTGACGGGGCCAGCAATAGGGAAGCGAGCGGCCTGTGGCTCCACCAGTCACAGTGGTTCCACTGAAGCAGGGACAAGACATATTCTATTTACTTTGCGGGCGGGGGTGGGGTGGGGCGGGTCATCTAGTTCCTGTCAGTGGGGTGAACTGTCTTTCTGTGGAATCCCTAAATCCACTCAGGGCGACCACACAGGACAGGCAGCAGGGATGCAGAGGGCAGCAGGGCCTAAGGTTGCCTCCTGGCTTCAAAGTTGCCCAGCGGCTGCTGCCCTTGCCTTTGTCATCTCTGCGACTCCGGCTTTTTTTCCAGAGTCGTGTATATTCCTGTCTGTAGCAAGCAGGGACAAGGCCTTTGACAGGTGGCAGGCCGCAGGTGTGGGCTGGGGGAACCTTGCTGTGCCATTTTTTTTCCTAGTGCTGCAAAATCAGATGTGAGTCGGGCCCTAGATCCATGCCCACTGCGGACTTTACAGTGTCTTTGGCCTTGGACAAGTCCCTGCCCTGCCCTGTCTTTGGCCACTCAGCTGGAAAGAATAAGGTGGATTTGATGCTCTTGGAGCCCAGACTCTTCTTTCTCACCCTGTTTCCACCTAGGTCACTTTTCCAGGAAACTACCTAAAATTCCAATAAATTCACTTCAGCAAATACGTATGGAGTGGAATGCAGCACCGATGCCTAGACGGCTTAGAGAGCCAGTTGCTAAAGAAAGTTAAGGACCCACAGGACAAAGGGGCAATTCTCCAGGAACCACCATGTGACAGATTTACCCAACTTGTTTTAAAACAGGTTCTGATCTTATCATCCCCTCTCCCTCTCTCTGACCCTGGGTTAGGACTGATAGGAGACTCTTATCTCAGGAGCACTTGCTCAGTCAACTGCAGAGCCACCCTTTGATCACAATAGTGCCCAACTGGGTCTCAGCATTCAGTTCTTGAGGTCACACTTGTCATTGCAGGGCTACTGAAGGTTCCAGGCTGGGGTTCTGGAGCCTGTTTCGGAGCCTCATTGCAATAGCCCCTTCCTGGCCAAACCCTCCAGGGCAGCATCCTAGCCACCCCAGGACAGCAGTGGAGGGCTCTGTCCCCTCCCTGGCTATCTCACAGACACAGTCTCAGTGGCCCTGGGTCTCATCTGAGGTCTCCCACCCACACTGTTCTGTAGTCACCAGAAACACCCTTTTCCTGACTCCCAAGGCCAGCACCCCTCCAGGACTTCCAGAACCTTCTCTCACTGTCTGTCTGCAGTGTTCACAAAGCTGGTCCCAGCAGCAGCTGGGTGTTTTGACAAGGAGCTATCGCCCTGCTTTCCAAACATGAGCTCAAGGATTCCGTTGATGCTCAGGAACGCGGCAACTATTCTTAGCCCCCTTGGCGGACAGAAAATAGAAAGAAAAGGGGAGAGAGAGAACTGGGCTTGCCACCTTGTCACTAAACCCTGTCACCACAACCCAGGAATTCTGAGAGTCTTGTCCTTATTTCTCTGCTTCAGCTTTATTTGGGGGAAATGTCTATCTGCCTGCAATGATATGAGAGGGAAGAATCCAGATGTCTAAATCCGAGCCAGACAGGATGCTAAAATACTGCAATTCTCACCTGCAGAGACTCTATGAAGGTTAGTATGCAGCCTGCCAGATTTTGTACCTAATCTGCTCTCTATTTTATAACCTCTGGGGAAAAGAATCCCCAAACATGGATTTCTTCCCCCCACATTTGACTGACTTGACCAATTCATTTCCAGAATCCTCAGGCACAAGAATAGTTGAAAGTTTGGAGTCCCCATGCTTATTCGGCAGCTGCCTACACCCCTGGAGCAAAAGAGGGCTCTGTACACAGACAGACGTGTTTTCCACACGTGTGCTACAGTCTCCATGTGCCAGGCACGAAGTTATCCAAAGCAAGAAGACAAATCTCTTTCTGAAGGACTAACATTATTAAGGACTGGTGGGAAAGTATGTGACAGGGAGAACAGTTATTGCACCAGCTTGGCCTCAAACGCTGTGTGACCTTGGGCAAGCCTTTTCACCTCTCTAAGCCTCAGTTTCCTCACCTTTCACACAAGAAGAGATGGTTCAATACTCACAGAAGTCCCCTCCAGCTCTCAAGTGCTCTAATTCTATTTGACTCACTCCTGCATTCTCTGGCTTCCTTCTTTGGATGGGTGGGGGCAAAGCTTTTAAATGGCTTTAATAGTTTGAAACATTTTACCTTCTGCTAGATTTCTTTGGGCAGCGGAATTTGGATTCCAGGTCTACTTTCCCATTTCTTTTCAAGCTGAATGATTGCTTTAGGTCAGCTGTTAACAAAATGGGGTCAAAGTCATCATTTCATTCCGCAGCTTTCTAATTCTCCCAGTGAACCTCCACGCTACCCCCTTTCACATAAGAGAAAAAGGAGGCCCTGGACTGATGGGGGCGGGATCCATGCTGGAAAGATAATGGCAGTATTTTTGTAAGTAGCTTAGAAGTGAATTAACCTCCCCAAACATGTGCACCAGTTCAACAGCCGCTGCTGTTATCTGGGCTTCATTTCCTGTGCTAACGAACAGCTCTTCCTAACACTGGAAATGAGCAACAACCTCGGTTTTTCACAAGCTGCCTGAGAAAAAAGAAGGTACACCAAGAGGACTCGGGTACCTTGCTCCTTAGGGTGTAGGTTCCAGAAGGACAGGAACTTGGGAGGTATTATTGGGTGGTATTATTATCACCCCAGAGGGCCTAGCACTGGATGCAGCTAGGGCTGCAGTCCTGATAGATTTTGTACCTAGGGTCCCCTGGTCAGGTGCCAGAGGCCTCGGCTGATTCAGGTTGCCTACTGCCACCTCCAACTGCTGGGAGGCTGGGCTTCCCCACGTGTGAGATGAGGGTCTGGTTGTGGTGATCCTGGAACCCCCGCCTGCTCATTTTCTTCTCCAGGGTGTGGTTCTCTGTGTGGCCTTTGCCCTGGGAGGGATAACTGCTCACTCTCTTGTGTCCTTGTCAAGTGCATACTTTCCGAGGCACAGTTTCTTTCCCATAAATAACTTTGTGTTTTATTGCTCAGTGTCTCTTGCCCCACTCTCTCGGTACCTGGCCTCTGAAGACATTCCTAGGTGCAGATTGGATCTGAGGCTTCCAAGTACTGTGTGGCTTTCCACATGAGCACACCTGCCCCATGGTACCTATGCACCTGGTGATAGGTGCCACCATAGATCCAATCTGCACCCCCACAGCACTGTCAGGAACAGCCTTGGACTTGTCTCCCGAGTGTCCCTCTAGGAGTGTCTTACAGGGTGAGAGATGTGCATGTCACTAATCTGTTGTCGAGTGGCTATTCAGAAGGCTGTTGTGTGGCACTTCCTCCAGGGCTCCTCGAGGATTCCTGGCAAACACTCGGCATTATCCAGAATTCTAACCTCTGCAGTCTCCTGGGAGTGGAGAGGTGTTTTATTATTCTTTTTATTTGCATTTTTCTGATTCTGGAAAGTCTGAGCATCTGTTCACCCGTAAGGGGCTTTATGACAGTGCCCTCTTCCTCACACACAGCCTGAGAGTCTGTCCCAGTGCCAACCCCAGTGCCTGGCATCTGGGGAGATGCTCAGGGACATCCGTTGAATAAAAGCCAGCCCCAAAGCCCAGGTGAAACGTGAGTCAGATGCTGTAAGTCCTCAGCCTGTCAGCGCCAGAAGGTAGTCCCTGAGCAGAGTGTGCAGAGCACAGGAGAATGGGCAAAAGCTGCCCCACACCCACACCCACTGCCACCTCACATCAGCCATGCCAGGCCTCCAGCTGCCTGGACCTCAGCTTGAAGTGCCCTGTTGATGTTTTTGCCTGATGAGCTCTCTGATGGGGTTGCTTCTGCCCCTAAGTCCCCTATTGCGCAGGATCCCCCATCCTTCCCGCCTCACTCAGATGCTGCCTCCTCCTACAGACTCAGCCTGACTCTCTGTGGGTTGGACAGTCAGGCTCAGTTTCTTCTCTGCCTTCTCACTGGACTTTGACCGAGGTATCACTCAGTCAGCCCCCTGTATCTGCAGGCTCCACATCCATGACTCAACCACGGATCAAGACTCTTGGGAGGAAAACTGGGTCTGTACTGAGCATGCACAATCTTTCCTTGTCCATTATTCCCTAAACAATACAGTTTAACAACAATTTGCAGAGCATTTACATTGCATTAGGTATTGCATGTAATGCAGAGATGATTCAATGCATACAGGAGGATGTGATAGTTTACATACAAACACTACACCATTTTATATAATAACCTTGAGCACCTGTGGGTTTTAGAATCCATGTGGGGTCTGAGAACCATTTTCCTTCAGATTCAAGGAGGGCTATATTTCATATGGACTCACACCAGCCTAGCAATAATATTATCTGTGCATATCTCTGTCTTCTGCCCTGCCCACACTTCACTATGTGTCCCTGGGTCCCTCTTGATGGCCCCAGCACTGATTCTTGCACATGACTATTATTTACAGAGGATGCCCAGCCAGGTGGCAATGGCTCTGATATTCCAAGGGACATTGCCCATGTTCAGGAGAGCTGCTGAGAGCTACAGGGCCAGCTGGTGGGGAACATCTGCAAGGGCAAGGCATAGGCATGCGGGGCCAGCATGGAACTCTGGGGAGAGAAGCAGGCCCATACTTACTTGGCATAAGCTTTCTCCAGCAGGCAGGGCCAGAATTCTTGGTTGCCTTTTCGAGGACGTACAAAAAGGCAGTCTCTGCCTATGGCAGGCAGTCGATCATCAACCACCACTTCCACCCACTGGCCATACTGCCAGAACTGGAAGAGAGACACATGTATGTCTTAGGAGTGGTGAGGCATTAAGGAGCCTCTGCAGTCCTCCAACCTAAGTAAAAAGACAGCCACAGTTGCAACAAGACTCCCATAATGCAAAAACAAACTAGACCCAGAGCAATCCCAGCTCACATTGCTAAACAGGAAAAGGGCGTGTCACCCATATTGGTAGATGGAGAAAATGAGGCACAGACCAAGTTAGCCCAGGGAGGAAGGAGACTTGGGTTCTAGTTTGGCTTTGCTGCTAACTCTGACCTCACATTGGCAAGTTCTTTGTGAATTGCAAGGACATGGAGACTCTCTAGGTTCTAGTGCACAAAGGGCAGTAGAGGGAGAATGTGCTAAATAACCAAGAAGAGTGGTAGATGCAGGATTGTAAGAGGGGCGGGAAAACCCACCAGGAGCTGAGAGCCTGAGGGAGGAGGTAAGATTCAGGCAGTTGATGAGGAGATAGGGAAGGAATCTCCGGAGGTGCGACCACTCGGGCAAAGGCTTGGAGGCAGAATGATGCTCATGGCTCAGGAGGACGGAGATGGTGACAGTCTCCCTCTGGCCCTCCTGTCCTCACGTCACACTGGCACTGCCATTACAAAGAAATGTAACTGGCTGGCACTGCTGCTGCTAAGAGCTCCAATGAGCCAGATGTTCCTCTCCAAAACAGACTGTTTTCATCTTTAGCATTCAACTCTAAACAGTTCACCCGGGGACATGGCCAAATGAGGAGAATCCATTACAAAGCCAGACTTTTGAGTTTCTTTGCTGGCCTCCCCTGTGCCGGATGAGCAGCAGGGCTTCCAGCTTCAGCCCTGAGCCTTGATGAAAGCAAGTCGAAGCCACAGGGGCTCCGCTAAAGCTGGGTGGATGTGATCTCTCATCCCCATGGCCTTTTCCACAGCTGGATGTCCCAGATGTCGGGCTGACACATCCAGCTGAGGACGCACTTTCAGAGCAGAGATGGAGACGAAGATATGTCAGCAGAGACAGCAAAGAACACGTCCTTAAGGACACGAATGCGTCCGTGAACTGCAGCTGACTCAGGCATACTGTGGGACTTGCATCTTCTCCCATCCAGCAGCAAGACGTGTAGGTGGCGAGGCAGAGGGAGTAGGCATGTTATCAGGAGCTGATCCCAGCTCCCAGAAGAGTCAGGGACTGGAAGCACCATTTAGGTTTTGAGCTTAACTGAGTAGCAACACACAGCAGAGATTGTCCAGTTGGTAGAACTGTATGTGAATTCTGGTTTTGACCCTTCATGCCCAAGCAACAAATGTTGGGTGAGACACTTCACTGTGACTCAGTTTCCTCATCTGTCAAATGATGGTAAGATTAAGAACCAACTTCCTTATAGGCAGTGACTGGGATCAGATGACTGTGAAAGCGAGAGTGTTGTTTTCAGGGACTGTTTGTCAACAGTCATTTTGTTTGGCACCCAGAGTAGAGCCTGGTGCCTAGAAGGTCTGCACAAATGAGTGCATCCTGGCTCCAGTAAGCTGCTCTGGTTACAATGACTAGAAATCACCCTTGCCTCCATCTTCTCTTACCAGAAATGCTGATGGAACTTTCTCTCCCTAGATAAAGAGAGCATCAGATAAGTTTGCTGTTGCAGGAGAGGATGTAAGTGGCCTGACTGGTGGTCAGGAATGGGACCATGAATCTATATTTCTTGGTCTGCATTACTGGATGAGGAAGGAGTTCTGGTGTCTGGACAGAGTTTCTACCCTCTAAGAACCATGCAGGCACCAGAAGTGTTTTGGGCAGAGCATCCAAGGGGCCATGGGCACTGGGTGCTCTCCAGAAGAATTGCTTGAGCACACAACCATGAGGAGAGGCCTTCAGAGCTCAGCACTGCAGATGCCTTTGGGGGAACTGTGCAACTGTCTTTGTCACCCAGAAGGGCAAAGCGTGTCCTGCCTGGGTCTATGACCACTAAGTAACTCCTCCAACCCCCGCCACCACCGCCATGTTGGCAGCTCCAGGGTGAGCCCAGGTGTAGCTCAATCCTGAATCTTCCAGTGCACTCCTCCTTGTGTCCCTGGACCAGCAGTGGCAGCAGTATCACCAAAGTGCCTATCAAAAGAACCAGGATGCACACAGTGGGACCTCAGGAGGTGAGAACAGGGCTGACACATCCAGCTGAGGATGCACTGCAAGAGGCCCAGCAATGATGGAGGGAGACTGAGCAGGAGAAGGCTGGTCTTCAGATAGAGAGTTCACTGAATTCCAGGCAGGACTATTTCTTAAAGGCACACATCTGAATATATTCTAGAAAGATTTTTGACTTCCGGGGAAAGAAAGAGAACCTCTTAGAGATGTGCAGTTTGGAAGTACATTCTGCATACAAAGCCTGGAAAATAGATTAGCATTGGATTTTTCTTCTGTGATATTAGAAGCCACAAGACAATGGGACAACGGAAATTTTGAGAAAAGGAACATGTTCCAAGAATCCTAAATCTAACCAAAATGTCGTTTCTTAAATAAGAGCACATGAAAACCCTTCATGTAGACTGAGGAAATTATGCAAAGAGCTACTTCTAGCCAATGAAAGTTAAATTAGAACAAAAATCTCAAGCAATAAAGGTAGAAGAAACAGTGGTAATCAATGACTTCTTAACATGCTTTTTATAAGAAACAGGCCTAAAATAGTGAAAATGAAATTGGTATTTAAGGGACACGCAAAGATGTAAGAAGGAAAAGTAAATAATAGGAAGTTGGTGTGGCAATGTGATTGTCAGATAAAGAGAAATTCAAGGCCAAAGGCTTTAAGTATAACAAATAGAGATGCTACACAAGTTTATGCTAACAAAAAGATAAAGATCATAAACCTCTGGCCACCAAAGGATACAAGGAGAATATGTGCAGAGCCAGAATACTCGGAAGCATGAGAAGTCTCAAAAGGATGACTTTGAGGAGGAACTTCAATTGTCCATTTAGTATTTGATAAATTAAGCAGAAAAATTAAGTCCAGATAAAATAGAAAATTGTAGATAGTACAATCTGCAAATCAGAAAGTTTGATTCAGTGAATACTCTCATGACCCTAGATAACCTATATTCTCATGTCCGTGAATCATCAACAAAAACTGTCACAGACTTTACCATAACTAAAACTAGTTTAATAATTTCCCTGAATGTTGATATTTTATGCTTTATATTCTTTGGCTATAATCTAACAAAACTAAAACAGCAACCACATGATTGCCCTCTCCTATAAAATGTCATCATTTATAAATTAAATAAATTTTAAAGGAATAACCCCCATATGTATATGAATGAACAAACCAAAATTTAAAAACCAAAAATAATCATCTTAAAATTAATAAAAGTAAATCTGTGTGTGGGGGGGGTATTGGCGATTGTACCAGAGTCTTGTGTCAGCTACTCTTCAACTGAGCTACATTCCCAGGCCAAAAGTAAAATATTTTATAATAAAACTTATAGATTCAGATAAGATCTCAGAGGAAAATTTATAGTTTTAAAAGCTTTTGTCATTAAAAAAGAATTCAAATACTAAACTGTGTAATTTCAATAAACAAAAAAGAACAATTCAATTAACCAAGATAAAGAAAAAAGGAATTAATAAAGATAAAATTTAAATTAATAGCATACAAATCAAAACCTTAAAAGGAAAAAAATAGCATGAATAGTGAAAATCAAAGTTGATTTGTTTTAAAATATCAATACAAACAGATTAGTTGGATTAAGAAAAACTGGATTATGGAAAAATAGAAATATAGCACTGTTGTTGAGAAAGTAGATTTAGCCACAGATACAATGGATTCTCAGAGAATCACATGAGCAAATCTAAGGAAATGTATTTGGAAATACAGAAGAAATAGTTGATTTTTCTGGTAAAGAATAAATTTCAAGAATTAAGTTCAGTAGAAATAAGGTATCTGAGCAGGTTTATAGCCACTAAATATATAGAAGGAGTTAAAGAAATTATATTTTAAAATGTGAATTGGCAGGGTCAGCTAATTTAACCATTGTCTATTTTTTCTTTCTTTCATTTTTATTTATTTTACTTTCAAAGGACAGATAATGATTAGCAAATATTATTCAAATTATCTCAAATTAAAAAGTAGTCTCAATCTCAACCAATTCATTTTTAAAAGCTAGCATAATGCAAATGTGACAAAATAACAAATCAGAAGCTAATTTTACACTTGATACAGGGACAAAAATTTTAGCAAATTGAATCTGACAGTATATCAGGAAAGTATATTCCCCAAATCAAAGGGAGACAGGAATTTGACTCTTTTCACTTTGATTCAAAATTGTGAGTTGCTAACTAATGTGATGGGGCAAAGAAGAGCAAAATAAGTTCTACAAAAATTAAAATGAGAAACAAAATTATCTTTTAAAAAATTGGATTGCTTTGTTTTCTATTTTTATTTGTAGATGAACACAATACCTTTATTTTTGTATTTATTTTTTATGTGGGGCTGAGGTTCGAACCCAGTGCCTCATATGTGTGAGGCAAATGCTCTACCACTGAGCCACAACTCCAGTCTCGAGAAAAATTATCTTTACTTCAGTTATTAGGTAACTAAAATGATCCAGATTCTGCCAAATAACAAAATAAGAAATTATTAAAGAGTTTGGTAAGGTATTTAGATCCAGTTAAACATATAATAAATAGTAGCTTTTCTTTTTTCCAGTGATGCCTACTTGGAAATGAGCAGAACAAAAACAAACAAATAAACAAAAAAACCCAATTTCATTCACATTAGCTATAAAATTATAAAATATTTGAGCATATATTTACCAAGAAAGGTAGAGCACCAATAAGAAAACATAATTATAACATTTTACTGAAGGGCATAAAACTAGTTCTGAATAAATAGAAAGGTAACGTTTCTGGAAGAGAATAATTAAAACAATAAAAATGTAATTTTTCCAAATTAATACATAAATTTGATGCTAATACATTGTACATCACAGTGGCTTTTCTTGTTAATTAGACTAATGATTTTAAAATTCCCACAGAAGAATAAATGTGCAAGAAGTACCAAGATATTTTTGAGAAAATAATAATGAATAATGAAGGGGGGGATTTGCCCCAGGGGTTACAGCTTCCTATGATACTCCTGTAATCAAAATAACAGGACAAGGACACGGTGCAGGAATAGATACAGAAACAAGAACCCGCCATCATTACAAGGGTCTGAATCAATAACTCTTTTCTTTTGCTAATCATTACTGTCATTTCTTCTTATTTCCATGAAAACACTTTAATTCTCATATGTGTAATCAAGTCATAAGCCCCATGAGATAGGCTGTGTAACTAACACAGGAATGTCACTCTCATCTCAGGCTCCCAGGCCACAAGAATACCCATGACTCTGGCTTCCTCTGTACCTCTGTGCTCAAGGGGTGCTCTATCATCTAAGGAGTGACAGCAGCGTACATACCCGGAAACGGAAAATCCCTGCATACTGGTGTGAAAAGCTCTGGTCCATCAGGATCTTCTGCAGACACTGAGGGTTCTGGGTCAAGGAGCCCAGCGCTGCCAGGAACCAGCAGTCTCCTGGGAAGGGATAAAGTCATAGAGACCATGTGGACACACCTGGAAGACCCATCCCATGACTTTACAGGTCCTTGGCCCCCAGAATTGGCACACTTCCTTATGAATACAGGTTGAGCATACTTTATTTGGAACGCTTGGGATCAGACAAGTTACAGATTTGGGATTTTTTTCAAATTTTGGAATATTTGCATATACACAATGAGTTATCTTGGGGAGGGACTCAAGTTTAAATACAAAATTCATATATGTTTCATATGCACCTTATACACAGTGCCTGAAGGCAAATTTTAAGCAGAGCAATATTTTTAGTGCACCTGTATTTGACTGCAACCCATAACGTGAGATCAGATGTGAAATTTTCTACTTGTGGCAATAAGCTGGCTCTCAAAAAGTTTAGAATTTTGGAGCATTTCAGATTTTGAATGAAGACGGCTTAATGTATAACCCATATTTGCCCTCTGAGAGAAGAAAATTGGGGAAAGGATTCACTAGGGCCAGTTCCAAGCAAGTAGAGAAGGGACAGCTAATGGCTATTGTAGTGGTGGCGGTGGGGGTGATGGTGTGGTGAGGGAGCACGGGGTAACCCCAGCCACCCTTTGACAGAGCTGGATCCAACTTACACCTTGATTCTCTTATTGCCAAAGTGCTCAGAGCCAAAGTCATAGAAAATTCTGCTGCTAGCAAAGGTGGCAGTGGTGCTTTGTACCACATGGGAAACAGACCTTTGCTGATACTTGCTCAGCTCCTACCTACACAGGGCCTTTGTAGGCCGCACAAGGATTCTCTCTTCTTGCCTTGAGGAATGTGGGCCTTGTGTTTCTCCTTGGGCACCATTGTGGGCCCTTTTGAACATGCTTATCCCCTCCCCTGAGTCTCTCCTTTACCTTCAACAGGGACAATTGTTTGAATCCTATTTCAGGAGGCATTGTGCTCAGTGCAGAAGCCACAGAGTCACACTTAGAGAGCTCCTTTCTCCAGCAGCAAAACCCTGTGAGTGGGCTATGGGGTGGTGGCCAGGTAGAAATTTTATTAGCAGGTGAAGTCCAAGTCCAAGGGCTTTGAGGAAAGATGTTGAGTTCTCACCTGCTATTCCTTGTTCGATGTCAAATCTGCTTGCATCTTCCAGGATGAAGTGAGGGGGAACCTCTGATAATTCCTTAGGAAAGAGGAAGAAAAGCTGTGAGCATCTTTCACCTCTTTATGCCCTGAGGTGGGACCTAAGACCTCATTCACTTTGTCTTTGAGGGATAGAGTTTAATTTTTAAACAGTTGCTTAAAATCTTCATTAGGTGGGAGGCTGAGACAAGAGGATCATAAGGGGGCGATCTAACATGGC